TCAGAAAAGCAGCAGCCTGGCTGGGTTTGGGTTGGGAGAGAATGTGGGAGCTCTGTGGTCCTGATAGAGGAACCGTAGCCTGCCCCTGGCAGCGGGAGGCAGCCAGCATGTCCCCAGAGAGGAAGCAGCAGCATGGTAGGAGACTCTGACTCTTCTATGAGGGCAGAGAGCTGCTGGGGCAGAAGCAGGCTCCTGAGATGGAGGGCGGGTCCTCAGCATCCTCAACCTGTATGCCCACACACCCCACACACCCTCCGCCCTAGAACTCAATACGCCTGCCCCCAGCTGTGGCACAAGCTGCTGGTGGGGCATCAAGAAGGATGGAGGTGGTGTTTTCCATAGAAGAAAGTTAAAGCTAGGCTACACTTGGGTTTCTCTCACTGCTATACGGATGGGCTACAGGAATACCTCACAGATACAAACGAGAACACTGAGAATCAGAAGGAACAAGAGCAGCCCCCTGCTGCCTGGACAGTGTGGAGAGGAGGCTGGGCCAGGACCAGTGTGTGATCCGCCACGCCCAGCACTGCCTACCTTCAAAACCAGGAGCCTGAACGTCCATCAAGGGAAGCTGGCCAAAGCCAAGCATGGTGGTGCACACATGTAATCCCAACTCTTAGGAGACTGAGCCAGGAGCATCACACGTTCAAGTACAGCCTAGGACACAAAACTGTAGGGGAAAAACGGTCTCAAATCTGTAGGGAAAAAAAGAAGGGATTTGTCAAATAAATATGGATGATGGAAAAACAGAGAGAGAGACAGACAGAAAGAGAGAGAGAGAGAGAGCTGTTTGCATCAATATGAAGTAATGTCCAAGATAATGCTGAGCACGATTAAATGTGAAGAGGTGTTTATTTATTGTTTCTGGGGGGACCTGAGAAACCAGTGCAGAGGAAACTGGGCAGAACCAGGGAAAAAAGACATATCCCATGGAACCTTCCATACTGTTGGACTTCAAGAGCATCATTGCCTATTCAAAAAATAATAGGGTTTCAAAGAAGAGCGTGACAGAGACCTTCGTTGTTCAGCCCGTTTGACTGTGATGAAGCAGCCGCTTTCTGAGGACCCAGGTGGGCCGGGCCCTTGGTGGGTGCCAACGGTTCTGCTCAATGGAGCCCTTTCACCCCAGGTCCCCAGCTCTCCCAGAGGGACGGTGGAGTGGGTAGCCACAGGACTCCCACAGCCTCTTCCCATTAAGCTACCCCCAGTGGGAGGAGCCTCCACTGGTGAGGGACGAGGTCCATCCAGGGCCAGCCTCGCTGGGCGGTCTGAGCCTAAACCCCTCAGGTTCACCCTCCCATGCTCAGGAGGGGCAGGAAGCCTGGAGAGAAAAGCCACAATCTGCCCTTTCTTCTGGGGCAGTGGTGCTCGCTGCTTGTAACCACGGCAGCCACCCCTGGGAGGGGCAAAGGAACACTGAGCCCCTAGATGCATGGCAGTCTGGGTGGGCAGCTCCAGACTCTGGAAACACAGCTGAAACCCACTGAGCTGAGGCCGCTCCCCTCCTGGCCTGACCCCTTGCATCTGTCCCCAACCACACTGCCCAGGCCTCTTGCATGGGCTGGATTCTGCATGGCATTCACAGAGCATGTCTGTGTGCATCACACCAAGAAGAAATGAATAACTCCCCGCAGTGATCCAAGGGTCTGCTGGGAGGGAGATGCCTTCCAAATACAAAGGGAGAAACTGAGGCTCAGACTTGCTTGCCAGATAGCTAGCAAGTAGCAGGGTTGACCATGTTAACCCCGGAATTCTGATTCCCAGAGCTCCCACACTATTCACAACACTGTTGTAAAACATTTTAGAGGACGCTTAGAATAAACTTGTTTTGTACAAATGATAAACTGAGGTGTCAGAGAGGGAGAAAAACATCTCCAAAGTCACACGCACAAGTAAGAGGCAAAGTCAGGTCTCAAGAGCTGGGCCTCTGCCCTGCTCTGGAGGAGGCTGTATCATCGGTACGGGGAGGAGAAGACAGCGTCACTGATGTGACCAGGCCTGCTCCTGCGCAGTGTACCCTCACATGCACACAACCTCCACTCTGAGCAGTTGCCTGAACCAGTGGCTGTGAACTCAAATGTCTTAAAGGGCCAGCAGGTACGTGGTGGAGTAGGGTCTAGGCCCTGACTCTAGGCCAGGATGACTTGGGGAGTAGGCAGTGTTGAAGGGGAAAGCATGAGCCCTGCCCAAAGGCATTCTAAACCAATACAAAGTGCAAATGAGTGCCAGGAAATGGAAACATTGTGTGGGGGGGGGGCGCGGAGAAGGCAGCTATGACAGCGGGCACATGAATGGAGGGAGGAAGGGTGGATAAATGCAGTCACTGCATTCAACGTACATTGCATAAAAATGGAATTACATAATATGAGAATAGGGGTGGGAGGGGGAAACAGGGAGAAGAAATGAAGAGGTGCCATTGACAGATGCTTTATATTCATAATCTGACCTGTGGACTGTATAACTACTTATTTTAAACATAAACAAAAAATGCTTTAAAAATACAGTGACATGGATGGGAATGAGCACAGAAGAAAGAAAACTGGCCCTGCAATAGTGACTGTTAAAGCTGGGTGTCAGGTAATGAGACTAGAGCACACAGCTCAGGGGCAGAGCTCCTACTGAGCACGTGCGAGGCCCTAGGTTTAATTCCCAGCATGGAGGGAAGGAAGGAAGGAAGGAAAGAAGGAAGGAAGGAAGGGAGGAAGGAAGGGAGGAAGGAAGGAAGGAAGGAAGGAAGGAGGGAAGGAGGGAGGGAGGCAGGCAGGCAGGTAGGCAGGCAAGCCCAGAATGTGTATGTGCTTTTAAATTTTCCATAATTAAATTTTGGATTAGTGTGCCATCAAAAATTCTATTGGGTGCTCAAGCCATGTCACATCCACAGGCCACCAGTTAGCAGGCTGTGCTCCAGACTTCCTGAATAGCCAATGGCTATTCCAACCCAACTGTGTCTGGTGGGAGGAGAGGAGCCGGCGGGGAAAGGCTGGGAAGTGCTTTCCCATCATGCCCAGGGGCATAGGCTCCTGTAAAGGGATGTAGGAGACACAGGCTGCCTGTCCCTCACTGAACTGTGCTCACTTCTTTTGCACAAAATGTGGGGTACTCAGTATGGGGAATAAAAGCATGGCTTCTATTTCCCCTTTTCCTTGAGTTGATTACCTAAGGAACTGGCCACAATCCCTTTCCTAAATCATGTGTCCTCCCAGTTCATTCATTCATTCATTCATCCTTACCTTGTTTTTTGTGAGTGTAAGTATTGGGGCTTGAACTCAAGGCCTTGTGCTCTCATGTGCTTGCTTGTTTGTTTTCACTCAAAGCCAGTGGTCTCAAAGCCATATCTCCACTTCTAACTATTTTGGCCAGTTGTGGGGGCTTGAATTCAGGGCCTGGGCGTGGCTCTAGACTCTTTTGCTCAAGGCTAGTGCTCTACCACTTTGAGCCACTGCACCACTTCTGGTTTTCTGGGGGTTAATTGGCAATGAGTTTCATGTGGACTTTTCTGCCTGGTCTGTTATTGAACTGCAGTATTCAGAGCTCAATCTCCTGAGAAGCGAGGATTAAAGGAGTGAGCCACTGGTGCCCAGCCCCTTCCAACTTTTTATTAGTTAATTGAAGATAAAAGTCCCACAAACTTCTCGGTCTAGATTGGCTTTGAATCAGAATCCCCTCAGAACTCAGCCTCCTGACTAACTAGGATTACAATCATGAGCCATCAACACCTGGCTCATTCTTACTTTGATAGTACTTGGGTTTGAACGCAAGGCTTCACAAGCAACTTGCTTGGGCAGTTGCTGTACAACTTGAGCCAGGCCCCCAGTCCTTTTTGCTTTAGTTATTTTTCTAATAGGGTCTTGGGTTGCTGATGTCAGCCTGGACTGCGATCCTCCTATACTCAGGCCGACCACATAGCTCAGATTGCAGGTGTAGGCATCATGCTGTCTGGTTGTAATGACATTGTATTCGTGATGTCCTATATTTTTCTGTGAGATCCACACCAAGATTGCATAGCTATGAGCAGAGGAGACAGGGAGAGGGCGCTACGCCTCCCTCCTCCCCGCTTCTATGCTCTTCCTTCTTCCCTTCATTGGGTTCTGCAACTCTCTGTGAACCTAATCACAGAGAATTTCACTGAGAGTCTAAGTAGTCAGGAAGTTTTGTTAGGCTGAAGCCTAACCCCTAGCGCAGGACGGCTTCATGACCAAGGCCATGGTGACACTCGGATGAGTTTTCTGGGAACTGGCATGCACTGAGGAATCTGGATTCACCATCAGTTTGTGTGAGCACCATACAGTCCCAAATCCCACCTGATACAGAGAAGCTGGAAGAAGACCCGACATTGTCCACATGACCTATAGACAGTGACTTTAGATCGTGCATTCCATCTCAATTCTGCTTTAACTCAGCTGAGTGACCTCAGGCCACACTTTTCTCTTCCCAGTCTTCAGAGCGGCCTTCTGGCCACCAAGACAGTTATCTCTCAGGGCAGCTCACAGCACAGTGAGACTCCACTCCCTCAGCCAGGAAGGGCTGACTTTGCCTCTGCTCAGAGGAACAACCCGAACCCGCACTGTGTTGGGAATTTAGCTCCAATGAGTAACAAGTAACAGGCATCAGAGCAAGACATTTGTTTGGAGGAATTCAACCAGTCCTGGGCCCAGCGTCCCACCCCGGCCCGCACAGCGGCTGCTTTCCACGCCTGTTCTTCCCTTAATTTGGCTTGCGTCCCAAACATGGATCACACAGTCTCTCTCCAGAAACAGCAGCAGAAGGAAACGCTATTAAAAGTGAGTGCGTTCGTGGGTATGGCGTGTGGATGAGGTCTTTGGAGTTTTGGCTGCCAAATAAAGACTTTATTGTTGTCATTCCTTCTTTCCCAAGCTCCCTCCCTCTCTCCTCTCCTCCCTCCTCCTTCTCTTCTTCTCCCTCCCTTGCCATCTGCCCCTCCCTCCCCTAACCTAACCTCTCCAACCCAATAGGATCTGCTGGAAGAAAAGTCAGGCAAACAGCACGCACGCACCACTGGGAGATCAGAACTCAGAGCTGGCTCTCGGCTGCCACCACTCCACTGAAGGGTGGGGAGGAAGAGAGCTGCCCCAGAGCTCCAGGACGGGCAGGTGTGCACAGGTAAGCCCAGGCGTGGGAGAGGACGGGGAGATGGCAAAGACCCCTTTTCTCCAGGGTTTCCTCCAGTCCTGTCCAACCTTGCTTACTGATATAGTCTGCCTTCTTCTTGCCTCTTTTTCCTTCCTTCTTTCCTTCCTTCCCTTCCCTTTTTTCCTTCATCTCCTTTCTTCCTTCCTCCTTTCCTTCCCTTCTTCTTTCCCTTCCTGTCTCCCTCCCTTCCTTCCTCCCTTTTTTCTTTCCTTCCTTCCTTGCTTCCTCCTTTCTCCTTCCCTCCTTCCTCTACCTCTCTTTCCCAAAGAGCTCAATTTTAATTTTCCTCATTTCTTGCCTACTCCCTCCTCCTCTCTGCACCCCTCTCTACCCTTATATTGATTTGCTGCTAAAGTGAAGCTTTCTTAGTACAGATGTTTGGGATAGTGCTGAGAAGCTACGTCGCACACAGAATTTCAGCTGAAAGCTCAGGTGTTCCCATAGAAACCAGGCCCTGAAACCCATTTCTCTGCACCTCTCATGTACCATCGCACGCTGTCAAAGACACACGCACGCACCGCATCTGGTGTCTCACCCTCTCCCAGGCCTCGCCAGCTGCAAGCGCAAAGGCAGAGTGTGTCTTCTCCCTAAGATGACAAGTCAGAGGAAGATCATGTGCTCTGAGTGGAGGCTGAGAGAGAGATGAGCAAGAGCGAGCAGGCACTGGAAGGAGTCTTCATTCTTTCATGCTTAATTGAGTAGGAGGGAGACAAAAGTGGCTGTCCAACCTGCACTCTATCTTCTCCGCAGCCTGAATTCCTGTCTCCCTGCTCCAAACCACTTGACTTTTAGAAAGAAAGAAAAATAAATTAAAAAAAAAAAAAACACAGGCAACCCAGCTTACAAATCTTGGAGGTTGGAATTCCAGCCCTGGGGAATCAACTTTTTCTTCCCCTTTCCTCTCTCTTGTAAACAACCAGGAAAAAAAAATTCTCTTTGAAGTCATTCTGAAATTATCTCAAGCACTCAGGCCAGCAACCCTGTGGCAGAGGAGCAACCTCGGCTGGCACTGGGGGGGCTGGCACAGGGTTCTCGGGCACTGGCACTGAGGACCTGCAGAATCACCTACAGGGTGGCGGGGAGTGTGTGGGAGGGGGTGCTACTAACACATGCAGCAGTCCCAAGGCCCAGGGGTCTATTGATGCTTTTGGACATCGGGGGATTCTACTGGCCTGTCAACCTGAGTTAGGGGCCTCTGACGTTGCTGCAGGGTGCAAGCCCAGCACGCCCCCAGTCCCTGCTGAACAGAAGGGGAGGGAGGCACAGTGTCCCACACCGGTCATCTCTTCTTTGAGGAGTCAGGGTGAGCACTGGAGGAAATAGGAAACATCTGTCAACCCCTTTCCTTCTTGCAAGCCAACTTAGGCATATCCCAGAGGAACATTCCAGAAAGTTCCCCCAAGAACTCCAAAGAATTCGTGTTCCTTCTTCCCTGCTAAGCTGCTTGCCCTAGACACCCAGGATTGATGCTGGGTCCCACCCCTGTCCATTCTAGATCATTGTCCCCCAGCTGACTGCTATGTCCTGATGGGCTTTCTCAGAAGATGGGCTGAATAGTAAATACCTCACCACCATCATCCACCTCTCTGGGGGAAGCTCCATTTAGTGGGTATTTAAGTGAAGTATCTGAAGGCCAGAAGGAGTTGTGGTTTTTTAAGTCAATCACAAATGGTTGTAAGTCTGGGTTGCTGTGGGTCTTGAAGTCAGTAAAGGAAAGGGAGAGATGTCCCACGGCTGGCCAGTAAATCTCTCCAGCTGTTGCACTAAATCCAGGGCTAGGTTAGAAAACAAGGAACTAGAGAGACAGAAGGAGACATCCCCATGTGGCTGGGGGGTGGGGCGGGGAGAGGGGGAGAAGCCCTCCTAGGATCTCTCACTAGTTAGTTCTGGGTCCCAAGTTTGGGGTCCTAAGTGTGGTCTCTCAAACCATAGAAGGAAAGAAGTCTCTCTGTGTGGAAAAGCCAGAACTCACATTGAGAAAGATCCCTGTTTTCCTCTACCCCTCTGCCCACTCAGTGAGAAAAAAAAGACCCCCATTAATTTGAAATGGTGCCAAAAGTCCCTCAGGAGTCACTGGTCACCAGTGGCACACCTATTAACTCATTTAGCTTTTAAAAGAATCAGATATGAAGAAGTTGTTGTCTAGGGATGGAATTCATGGCCTGGTTCTTGCTTAGCCTGCACAAAGCCCTGAGTTCAAATCCCCAGAAACACACACACACACACTTGCATGCCCATTTTATAGAAGAAGAAACTGAAGCCTTGTCCGGGGACACCAGCTGCACAGTTGCAGGGATGCAGATCTATAACAAAACAAGGAATCAGACTGATCCTTCCTGGCTTTCTCTGGAGTTAGGCATGGGAAGGGACAGAGAGGACCTGAGGGACCAGCGGCTGTCATAGGAACAGAGTCTTTCTTCTTCATTGCTCAGCATGGACAACTTGCTCTTCTAAACCTGTCACCTAAGGCCATCAAAGCTTCCTCTGTTTACTTTTGCCTTGTGGTAGACACTGGGAAGGCAGATGGTGTCTTCATAATCGTGTTAGCCTTATTTTTAGAATTTTTTTGATCTGCAACGCATTTTAAATTTGCTTATCACACTTGGTTCTGACAACTGTATGAGAAATACAGGGATAAGAAAGGCTCTGTTCTCCCTGCTTTCTAGATAAGGAAAGATTCAGCCAGGGCCATACCAGCCCTAGCCGGGTCCTGAAAGGGTTCAAGACAGACTGGAGTCACTGGGTTCAACCTTCTGCTAACAAAGCAGAGGGACCTCTGATCTCTCTGCTTCCAATATACCCCTAAGCCACAAGGATAAAGTGAGCAGGATAGGGTCTAGTTCTCTAGATCAGGAACAAGAGAAGGAAGAGTGAAGGTCACCCTGCATACCTGGCTCTGACTCCAGGACAGTATGGCTGTCTGGGTTATTGAGACTAGGGGTGGCCAACTAGACGAGAAATCTGACAAGGAGAAGATTGTCCATCCACAGTGCTGAATAACCCTGCCTAGCTCTGGGAGACAAACCCCAACTCACACCCAGCCCAACTCCTCACAAAGCTATGGTCCTTAAACCTGTTGCCAGGCATTAGACAAGCCCACCTGGACCAGACACAACTCCCTCCGTCTCTCTAGTTGTTTTCAAACCCATGTTCCAAATGGTCCATGGCCTCAGCCCTGAGTTACAACCTTACATGAACGGGATATTGGACAAAGAACTGATTCACTTTCAAATCAAGGCCTCTTTGAGCCAGTGCCTGTGATTCTCAGAGATTTTCCTCTCTAGAACCGGCCTTCTGCTGTGTGATTTCATCTGATCCTCAGGCAAGGAGCCTGGGGACCGGGAGGAGAGGCAGGCACAGGAATCGAGCCCAGATCAACAAAGTTGGAACTGAAATTTGAATTTTCAATTCTCTTAGGAAAAATATTCCAAAATGTAGAGAGGGAATATGGGGTCGGGTAAAGCAACTGCTCATTCTCTCCTGGAAGCTGAAGCTCTGAGTTCTTCACACAGTACAGGACTCTGCGAAGTTCTTGGTCATAGGTAGTCAACAGATGATTGTTGAGCAGGGAGTGAGTTGTACATAAGAAAATGTAAACACATACACACATTTATGACCCGCCTTAAGGGAGTTTCTAGTTGGACACAGTTTATATCCTGGAAGGCAGGAGCATAGAACCACTGCTGTGGCTTTGTGGGAGGGAGTGTGAGCCATTGGAGTTGATCAGCCGCCAGTCTATCTCTGAGATCTGGTTGTAGAGGCTAGGCTAGCGCAGAGCATTGGCAGAGAAAGGCTGTGTGGACAGAACTTCCCGCCAGCCAGGAACAGACATGCTCTGTAGGAAGGGGCGTGGCCTGTGGGAAAGCCCTTAGAAATGAACACTCACTCCTTGTGCTCTCTCAGTGCACAGTGCAGCTCCAATTCAGCCCTGAGGGCTGAGAGAAGTGGAGTCGGACAGATCCAAAACACCTAATCCAGGGAGCATTCCTTAGGGTCCTCCTGCAGGCTCTGGGAGGACTAGAATGTAACCATATTAAATGCACAAATGAGCAGATTGTACAAGTGCCCAAAGGGTCTGGCACAGGAGGCAGGGATAGGACTAAAGCCCATGTCTTAGGCCTGAAAAAGGGAGGGGCTCTGACGGTAGAGACCAGGGCTGCCCAGCCTTGAGACTCTGAGGCAGACACCCCAGCACAGACAACCATCCACGTTACTGTGCCTCACAGAGCAGGCTTTGTGGGATGCTTACTTGTTTAATTTGCCGTCCACTGCCTTCTGTAAGCTTTTGGTGACAAAAGAAAGGAAGGAAATAAGAACATCTCAAACTTGGGGCAAGGTTTCTCACAGCAGGAGAGATTTCCTGTGGTTTCCAGGCTTCTGCAAAACAAGAACAATTAGAAAACAAGAGAAAAGAAATCACGATTGCAAAAATTGGGGCTCTAAAAAAAATGTTCATTTTAGACTATTAATGCTTTCCCTCTTTATTTGTGTCTGATTGTGCTATTTTCAAGATCACAAGCTTTATAAAAATGTTCGTTTGTAATTCCTTAAGTATAAGTGAATGAAGCCGAGTAACACAGCTCAAATTTAAGTTCTATGATGGGTAGCGTGTCTTTGAGTCCCCTCAGTCTATAATAGCGATAGAGCCAGGAGGAATCCCAGGGAAATGACTTTCTCAATGCCCTTGAAGAATGTTTTATTGGAAGAGATCCCTTCAGAGGGAAGTGGCAAATCATCAGAGGTAGCTAGATGGCCTCTTTCCCCCTCCTCTACACCCTTCTTCTCCCTCCTTCTTTCCCAGACCAGTGGATTGCGCCAGGGCTCTCACCCCTGCACTGAGCAGATGTGCAAATATGAGCTTCTTTATGTGCATAGGGGAGGACTGTTGGTGTCTGTATGCAAGAGTGTGCAGGCCAGGGACATAGGCGTGTGCACATGAGGATGAAGCTCCTGCCCCTGTCCAGGGCTCAGCTCTGCCTTCTTTCTTGTGTCTTGTCACATTCAGTGCCTCCTGCATATCTGGCTCATCTCCTGCAGCTGGCAAGGGGCTTCTGCTGCCTTCCTTTGATCAAAGCCAGCCAAAGATGGGTGCTGGACAAGCAAGGGAAGAGTCTGAGCTGGTGTGGGCCTAATGGGAAGGGGTCTGGATTGGAGGCAAGGTCCAGAGGTAGACCAGGGACATACTCCAGCCCACTCTGGCTCAGAGAACCAAGCGTGCACCTCCAATGTGTCTCAAAGCCCAAGGTGGGAAAGAAGATGTGAGGAGAGCCAGGGAGGCCATGTGGGAAGGGGGCTCAGAGGGGGGCGCCACAGGATGGCAACTCTGGGAAGGGACAGCCACAGGCACTTCTCTTTAGACCCTTCCAAGCCTGGGTTAGAGAAGGAAGCCTGTGACAGTCCATACTCTCCATCTGCAGGCCCGGGTCTATTAATATTTGTCCATTTTCACTTCAACTCCAACCACATGGCTCTATCTATGAAAGTCATTAGAGCCAACCCATAAAGACCATTCAGCTCCATGGTCCAATGGCACTGAGTCTGCCAGGAAGTTCTTCTTGATATCCTACCTCATCCCACCAATTCCAAACGATCTGGAGAACAGCAATAGCAATACCAGGTCAAAGGAAAGTGTCCCCCCCACCCATCTTTCCCTTCCTTTCCTGTTTATTTTCCCAGGAGCTTTCCCATCTAGGAGGAATTCTTGGCATGGCTTGTACTGGCAAAAGCCAGCACTCTCTGAGCCAAGCGCAGAAGGGAGGCCTGGAGCACGGGCTGGTGAGCAGGGATGGGTGCAGGGTCTCTGAGCACTTCCCTTCTCCCAGCAGCTTGCCTCTATAAGGGAGGAGTCCTGGGCCTGTGTCCCGGGTCTGCTGTTCAGTGGCTTCCTGGACCTCACAGCCACTTCCGCCTCTAGTCTCGGTTTTTGTAAACAATGGGGTGTGCAGACTTGGTGGGTGGATTTCAAACCATTTATAGCAATGAAACTTTTTCTCTCTCCCCACCTCCAATGAATGTCTTGGCTAAATCTCAAGATAGATAGGTAGATGGTAGATAGGTGGATAGCAGATTTTTTTAAGCTGCTTAAGGTGGTCCAGGAGGAAGCTGGGGTGTCCCAGAGCCCCCTCCTCAGCCTCCCCTCTCAAGGGGCTCCACAGACCTACAGACACAGTTTGAAGACCACTGCATTGTGGGATTGCAAGGACCCTTCTAGATGTGCCATCCAGAACTGTCTGCTTCACATATCCCAGCATCTCTAGACAAAAGCAGGGATGGTTGGTTTTCTTGAGTCACAAAGGAGAGGCTTGGGGCCTTAGAGATGAAGGGCTTTATCCAACAAGCCCTGGGACCCTGACTCCCAGTCTGCTGTTTCTAGGACACTGGCCTTCCCCCAGAGAGGCTGGACATGTGGCATGGCTGGGCATCCTGCCCTTGCTACTCTGTCCCTGCTCTGCAGACCCCGCACTCTGCCCCTCTTCCCTAGAGCTTGACCTAGCCACAGAGACCTAACATTGATTCCTGAGGCTCAGCAGGCTGGTAACCTCCTGGGTTTCCTCCCTCTAGGTGGATCATGAGGTCATCCCTCTGCTGGCTTCTCCCACTGCTCCTCATCTTGGCCTCAGTGGTCCAAGGTCAGCTAACGAGACAAAAACCCGGGAGCAGGCGCAAGCCCAGGCCCAGGCCCACACCCAGCTTTCCTCAGCCCGATGAGCCAGCAGAGCCTACAGACCTGCCTCCCCCACTGCCTCCTGGGCCTCCGTCTGTCTTCCCTGACTGTCCTCGGGAATGCTACTGTCCCCCTGACTTCCCATCGGCCCTTTACTGCGATAGCCGTAACCTGCGCAAGGTCCCCGTCATCCCACCCCGCATCCATTACCTCTATCTCCAGAACAACTTCATCTCTGAGCTCCCCGTGGAGTCCTTCAGGAACGCCACAGGCCTGAGGTGGATCAACCTGGACAACAACCGAATCCGCAAGGTGGACCAGAGGGTGCTGGAGAAGCTCCCTGGCCTGGTGTTCCTCTACATGGAGAAGAACCAGCTGGAAGAGGTGCCCTCGGCCCTGCCCCGGAACCTGGAGCAGCTGAGGCTGAGTCAGAACCACATCTCCAGGATCCCACCCGGTGTCTTCAGCAAGCTGGAAAACCTGCTGCTCCTGGATCTACAGCACAACAAGCTGAGTGATGGCGTCTTCAAGTCAGACACCTTCCAGGGCCTCAAGAACCTCATGCAGCTCAACCTGGCCCACAACATCCTGAGAAAGATGCCACCCAAGGTCCCCTCGGCCATTCACCAGCTCTATCTGGACAGCAACAAGATCGAGACCATCCCTAATGGATACTTCAAGGGCTTCCCCAACCTTGCTTTCATCCGGATGAACTACAACAAGCTGTCAGACAGGGGTCTCCCCAAAAACTCCTTCAACATCTCCAACCTGCTGGTGCTTCACCTGTCCCACAACAAGATCAGCAATGTGCCTGCCATCAACAACAAGCTAGAGCACCTGTACCTCAACAACAACAGCATCGAGAGTGAGTGGGGGCGGGGCCACCGCCAAGGGGGCGTGGTCACAACCGGGGTGGGTGGGACCTCAATGTCACCACCCTTTTTCAGGAGCCTCCCGGTGTGCGCTGTAGCAGCTGACTGAACTGGGGGGTGTATCTGGGTGATAGAGCCCTGCCTAGCATGCACAGCACTTTGCTTCCAGCTCCAGCATCCTACACACCCCCAAATCCACTTTGCCTCCGATCTTCGCCTTACCAAATTGACAGTGACCTTGGATAGGTCACTCCTCTGGGAAGTCTTCTCATAGGTAAACTGAAAATAGTAATAATATCTTCTAAGACAAGGTTGCTAGGATCGTCTAACATGAATGAAATGTGCAGAATACCATGCTTGGAGGGCAGTGGCTTTTCTTCCTCCATCCCAGCTTATCAACACAGCTTCTTTGGCCTCCAGATGTATAGATAGGACAAACATAAGAAATACTCCTGCACATTCTCTTACAAGTGGGACAGAGATATCCAAATGTTCATCCTGGCATGTCTGGGCCTGTCTGCTGCAGGCAGGGAGTTTCCTCCCCAAAACTGAGGAAACTGGAAAAGTAAAGCAGCTGGAAACAATGTCTGTGTGCAGGTGCCTTCTCAATCTTTCTAGAAGGTTGCAGCGTTCAGTTGCACAAGATACTGTAGTTAAGGGAGAATTTGCCTAAGCAACATCAACAAGTTACTGGGCATGTGGAATCAGTTACAGACCAGAACGGGAGGCTGGGAGTCTTGATTTTTGCTTCAGTCAAAAATGTCAGCCAGGGTACTCCTCTATGGGGCCTCTGTCTTGGAAGAGTCTTTCACTACTCTCTTCTCAATTTCAGTTAAACTTGTTTTGTTTGCTTTTAAAAAAAAAAAGTTAGCTAGGCATGCTGGTACATATCTGCAATCCCAGCTGCTTCAGAGGCTCAGACAGGAGAATCTCAGGTTCAAGATTGCATAGCCTAGATTACATAGTAAGACTATGCAATAAAACAAACACAAAAACACCCAAGCCCCAAAGTCATCTCTGAGTGGAATACTAGCAGAAACTTTTGGAAACAAAAGAGTTTAATTCAGTCCTGAACTACAATCATACGAGGTATGAAGCAATTGAGGGGAAAAGGGGGCTAAGGGGAGGGGGGACAGAAGAACCCTAGAATAATTCAGGGAAATGGAAAAACTAATTTTACCCTGCAGGTAGATTAAATTCCACAATAAAATGGAACACACTGCCCCTAGGAAGCTGTGTAGGCTGAACACAGACAGAAAGGATATTTGCATTAATAGCTGGCTGACAGGCCCCTGCCGGACTGTGGAGGATAGCTCAGCTTTCTGAGGCTTAGTCATGCCCTGCTCCACGTGACTACCCCAGCCCCATCCTGTGACACTAATGGACAGGATGGATAAGTGAGACGCAGACCAGGCCAGTGTGACAGTTACAGTTCTAGCAATGATCTTAGTGCTGTCACCTATACTGCCCTGTAGAGTTTGAAAAATGCCTTCTCTCACTAATGTCCAGGGCTGACCACATACTCAGCATTTCATAGAACAAGTGTCAGGGTGGTAAAGCCCAAAGCCACAAAGCCCATGGGAGAAAAATCTGATTGTGCCAGGGCTCTTCCACCCCCACGGTACAGGAAAATCAGGAGAAGAGGAGGAAGAAGTCGACAACAAATACGACTTCTTCCTTACCCATCTCCCATAGATGATAATCAAGCTGAAGCTCAAGGAGAATGAAGCCCTCTCATACCACCTGAAAACTAATAATGGAGAAAATGGAACCTCGGGTCAAGGACACTTCAGAATCCATAGGCTCATTATCTTCCCAGCCACTTCCCTCCTCCAATCTCACCACCCCCATAAACATAATCCTCTTCCGTCCAGCCTCACGCCTTAGATCCAATCAACAGGCACATCTCCAGGAACTGCCCCCATCCACCCACTGGCCTCCCCTCTCACCTCCCTCTGAGGCTTCTCCACTTCTAGCTAGAGTTATCTTCCTAGAGTGTCAGCCTGATCATGAGGACCAGGAAGGGCCTTCCAGATTTAACCCCAGGATGCTGTAGCGTAGATCTCTTAACATCTGATTCTCTAGATCATTCTGATCATTTGATCGAATCAATCATATTGATTATTCCCAATGTAAGTCATGCTCCAAATGAGTGCATTGTACCTGGAGATTAGGAAGACCTGTATAGGGTCACACATTCCCAAAGCCAGCCAGTCTGGAGAGGAGAGCTCTAGAGGCCTCACTCCTCATGTCCCCCCCACCCCACCCCGTTCCTCATCAGGGCCTCCCATTCTACTACTGACTTCTTCCTGTCTTTCTCCACAGAAATCAACGGGACACAGATTTGCCCCAACAACCTTGTGGCCTTCCATGACTTCTCCTCGGATCTGGAGAACGTGCCCCACCTGCGCTACCTGCGGCTGGATGGGAACTACCTGAAGCCCCCCATCCCGCTGGACCTCATGATGTGTTTCCGCCTCCTGCAATCCGTGGTCATCTAGGCCTTGCCGTGGGCTGGACCTCCTCTGACCACGCTTGAAGGCTGGTGGCCCAGGCACAGTGCCCACCATTTTCCTCTGCCTCCTCCTCTTGCCCTCAGCTTTGCTTCTTTTCTCTCCTATTTCTGAGGATTGGAAATGTCATGTGCTCTGCTGCAGTTCTGAGGCAAGACTTCTCAAGGCTTCATTTGGCTCCACCCATTTCAAAAAATCCTCCCCGAACCCTGCACACCCAAACCACTGGTCTTTTGTGGTCTCCTTTCACTCCAGAAACCAGACTCCATGTCCCTTCCCCTCCCCTCTTCCATCCATCACTCCTGAGTAAGGCTGGACCACAGACTGACATCTGATCTTGGTTGGGCCAAGTGAGAAGCAAAGATGGTTCTGGCAGCCTGGAGGTGAGTTTTGGAAAGTCCCACTGGAGATTCTGCTATCTTGGGCAACTCTGCCTCAAAAAAAAAAAAAAGGCTGAGAAACCCAACCAAAGATCCCTTCTTCAAAACTGCTGCTCTACCACCCTCTCCCCTGGCTACCAGGCACTGCTCTCTGCCCGCCCAGGTTCTCTGGGCAGGAAATAAGGGAATGACTGAGGCAGGGCAGAGGGCCAGGGTGCCGGCAAGCGCTAGCCACGGGCCATCTGTGCCCAGAAATGAGTTAGAAGCCCCTCCTCTGCCTCCAGGATGAATAGAGCACACACCCTCCTAGCTGGGCCTCAGAGGAGCCACCGAGGAGAGCTTCTTGAGGATCTAGACTTCAGCTAGAAGGAGAGGGCTGGAGGTCAGAGCCCCAGGATGAGCCCCACAGGGGTGTCAATGAATCCTGTGGCCACTCCTGCCCAACCCCGATAAGTGGCCCGAGGCCCTGGGGAACAGAGTTCACAGGGGAAGGTCAAGAGGAGCCACTCTTCCCTCCCCTTGCCCCATCTGTTCTCTATTAGGGCAGAAGGCCCAGTCATTTCCACCCCTGAGGGAGTGGAGGGTTCTGAGACACTGGGAAGAAGGGGCGGGGCACCTGGAAATCTCCCAGGAGCCTCTGCGGAATTGGAACTCTGCCTCCATCTCGGAGACAGACCCATGAGTGACACCTGGTGGCAGCTGACGGTGGCAGCTGGCTCCAGTCTTCTCGCCTCTTCCTGGCATCTGGTATTCCAAGGTCACAGAGCTGGCAGGTTCCAGCTTGGGAGAGCCAGGGGTGGCATGCTTGGGGTCCCCCTCCTCTAGTGGGGCTCAGTCCCATGGTGAGGGACCACCACTGGGAAACTTTTGGGAGCCCAGTGACCTTGCCAGGTCTCTTCTGCTCTTACTTACCACATATGGAAACCCAGGCAAGCCCCGCCCCCCTCCCAAGCAGTCCCACACTGTAAAGCGAATCTTAATGCAGGATGCATCCTAACTACTACTACCCTTCCCTTGCAATAATTTATTCTCTGTTCCTAACCCAGAGGCATCCCCATCCTCCTTACCTGGTCCAGGTAGTAGTCGCTTGGCAGGTCTCCTTGCTTTCAGCATCCCCCTTAACTTTCTCTAGAGGATGCTGACCCCCTACTGTCCCCAGAGTATGGGTTTTGGTGAAAAATTTAAGGATCTAGAAGCAAGACATAATATGCACCCTAAAAAGGTAAGCTGAGTGTTTTACAAGAAATTGAGTTAGCCAGGAGCCAGTGGCTCATGCCTGTATCTAGCTACTCAGAGGACTGAGATCTGAGGATAGAGATTCCAAGCCAGTCTAAGCAGGAAAATCCATGAGATTGTTATCTCCAGTGAAGCAGCAAAAAGAGGGAAGCAGCAGCATGGCTCAAGAGGGTAAGCACCAGCTTTGAGTGAAAAAGCGAAAGAACTAAAAATTAAAATGAAAAGGTAAAAAATAAAAAATGAAAAGCTAACAGCACTGACAGACACAAACTCCCTTTACACACAGGCTGGTCTGTGCAGGACCCCCTTCCTCACAGCCTCTCCCGGCTCCACACCACTTCCCCTCTCTCCCTAGTTGCAGCTGGTTTCTCCAAGGCTCCCGCTTAAAGTCCATTCACCTACATGGCTGTAAGCAACCTGGTGCTATGGCCTGGATAAGCCCCTCTGCACCCTATTCCCTCCTTCCCCCCTCAGCCCCTTTGGTGAGGCTCGGGACAAGGGGGAACACTGCTCCCCTGGAGATCCTGGTCTTGCAAACCTAAATTGTTCAGTTTTTAGTAGCTACACCATCCCATCATTCTATAGGCTCATCCTCGGGCCTCTGCTACCAGAAGCATAGCATTAAGCTAGCCTTGTAGTCCCCACTCCCCCACCTCACCCCATGCACGCGTGGTGTGCTTTCCTGGGTTTAGAAAGTTCTGCCCCCCCCCCCCCGCTTTCCACAAGTTCACTCTCTCAGTGCTATGGGCCTCCGTGTGTGCAGATGTGTAGGAAGTGCGTGTATGTACACGTATCTGTACATATATCTGTTCTCTCTGGAAGACCATGTTAACTTTGTGAAACAACTTTCACATTTCAACACGCTTCATAGAAGAGGAAATAAAATCAAATGAAAAACACCCTGCTTGAGTTTGGCAATGTGACCTGGTAAAAAAGAATACCTTAAAAGCCAGGTGCTGGGGACTCACACTTGCAATCCTAGCTATTCAGAAGGCTGAGATCTGAGGGCCATGATTCAAAACTCACTGGGCAAGACAAATCTGTAAGACTCATATCTCCAGTTAACCACCAAAAAGCCGGAAGTGGAGGTGTAGCTCAAGTGGTTGAGTGCCAGCCTTGAGTGAAAACAAACTAAGCCTAGAACGTGAGACCCTGCATTCAAGTCCCAGGACAGCACGAGAGGCAGGACAGGGAGGGAGGGAGGGAGGGAGAGAGGGAGGGAGAGAGGGAAGGAGGGAGGGAGGGAGGGAAGAAGGAAGGAAGGAAGGGAGAAAATTCCTAGGAAACCTAACCCAGTGCCTTTTCCGAATTTCCCCCAAAATACATAACCCTCATGAAAAGTTAGTGCAGGAAGTCAGTTTGGAAACCAAACAGCTACATTTGTGGCCCCAAAGCCCAGGTTCTTTCACCCTACGGGGAGCAAATGATGGAGACTCTCCCAGTGCTCAGTAGAGCAAGGAGCATATCCACACCCAAGGGGCATGTGTCCCAGGCCCCTAGGGATGTGTCTCAGGGGCCCTGGGCCTTTTCTTTGCAGGGAACTTGGCTCCCAAGGGGAATCCATGACCTTGCAAGCCTAGGCCATGACTTATAGGATGATGCCTGCCAGGCCGTCTGTCCCCCGAGCCCACATGGCCTGATCAACACCCGCTCAACACCAGTTCAATTCAGCCGTGGTTCAGTGGGCATCGAGGGAGTGCAGGCTCCCAGCTAAGAACTCATAAATGAGCACTATTCACCCTGCGCCCGAGCACATCCCCAAAAGAGGAATCTGTAGTGAACTGACATTTCTGCCTTTAGTGTTGGTAATCTAAGCTCCAACAGCGTGGAGGAAGAGGCCTCCACCGCAGCTGGGGAGAACTCCAAAGGCACCTGACATCTGAGCAGGCTCTTAGGGATGAAGCACATTTTTTTCCAGGTGGGAAAAAGAAAAAAAAATCACACACGTGGAAGGGGAAACAGCACAAGGAAAGGAAGGTATGGGATAGATGTTTGAGGAAGAGCCAAGTTTCCAGTTCCCATCCAGAGTGACCTGGCTGCAGCCCTCAGCTCAGCAGGGAACACACCCCTGTCGTGCAAAATGCAGGAAGGCTCCCACACTTCCGTCTGGCCTCTCCCCCTGCCCACCTCGGGGGCAGCAGTAGGATTGGCTGGCCAGACTTCTGGGTACAGCACCTGCCATCTCCTTTCCATCACCATGTCTGTGCCTCTGCTAATGAGACTCTGGGATTAGGCCGCCTCCCGCCTGCCCCCTCCCCGCAGCCAGCAGGGGAACAGCGGCAAGGGCAAGGCATGTCCGAGCGCCCGCCCTGAGGTTCATGTGTGGAAACCAGCGAGCTAGCAACGGTGAGACTAGAAGTTGGGAGAAAGTCTAGGGTGCAGGCCTGCATCAGGTGGTTCCCGGCAAGGATCCCCCTGGTGGAGGGAGGGACCCTCTGCAGGGCTGGGAGGACTGTGGTGCCACAGTAGGAATGGCAGCCAAGCCAGAGTCATCTGTTCCGAGGGTCCAGAGACACTGGGTCTGGGGCTCCCTGGGACCAGGCTGACAAAAGGGAAGCCACAGGAGCCAGGGCAAGCTCTGGCCCGAAGCTCTGGGATTTTAAGGGCTCGATTTGGCTCTATGTGGCCTTGGGCTAGTCTCCTGCTCTCTCTGGGCTTCGTTTTCTCCTCTGTCCAGCAAGGAGTTCTGATGACTGATCTGGAGGGGATCTTTAGAGAGTTTCCTGCACCCGGCTCAGGACCAGCACCCGTGAACCTGAAGATGCCCTCAGATCTTCCGACCCCCCTGAGCACTTTACACCCCTCAGGCCTTCAGCCCCTCCTGGTGATATTGTTTGTTCAATGTGGCTCCTTGATGGCCTGGCTGGCTTGCCTCCTGTCAGCACCTTTTCCTCTTTGGATTCCATCTGTGAAGCCATCCCATCACTCCTGGCCCAGAAGAAAAAGACCAGAAAGGCAACCCAGCCTCATCAGAGAAGGGGGGAGGAGAGAGAGAGAGAGAGAGAATATGCTGGTGGCAGAGCAGGTAGAGGGAGAGAAAGAATTCCTGTTCAGGCACAAAGGATTAGGGCTGGGGACCCCCTGAGGACATCAGGAGGAAGGAGAAGTCTAAGTGGACGGCTCTGCGCAGGCCCCGCCCCCAGCTGGTGGGTGGGCACGCCCTCCTCTGCCCCCAGCGCTGGCAGTCTTTCCCTCAGAGTCCCAGTTAACTCCATTCAGGAGCCCAAAGCATCCAGAAGGGTAAGGCTCAAGGTTGGAGGCCTCAGGCTCGTGGGTATGCACGTGAGGGGCCAGGGAGGGGCAGGAGGGAGGACAGGGAGGGCCTCAGACCCTGTCCAGGGGATGTTGCAGGAGGCTTGGGGGATGGGCAGTGACTCCTGCCTTGGGAACTGTTTTGAAGGCTATGAAGTTGAGTTTGGAGTGATATGGGTGATTGGTGAGGAAACGCCTCTGGTGACTCCTGGAGCTGGCACCTTGGCCCAGATGAAGCGACAAAGGGAGTGATCTGGCTTTGGGGAGGGCTATGGTGGGGTACACACATACCCAGGGGCACCTCAACACTCCTCCCCTAGCATTCTTTCACACTCACAACCAAGCGCAAAGAACTCCAGTCTCTCATGGTCTGTGTCTAAGAAGCTGATCTCCCA